AATCCCTCCCAGAAGGAAGCTGATCTCTGAACATCATAGCTGTAAGGTCATTAGGACCGTTTAGGCACGTTACCATTAAAGACTGCAGCATAAGGTACCTGCTTGAATGCAAAATGCCCAGGGAAGATGTCAGCTGGAAATGTGTTTTGTTCAGGTGTTTCTTTCTCCACACAAGCCACTGAAAAAGAAAAAAATAATTCAATAAATCACACAAAGCTAGGAGCCTTCAGGCATCTGAAATGACTTCATGCTTGGCACCCAAAAGGTCGTCAGTGAGTGAGACCCCTTGGCACTTTTCCCTTTAACAGCTTTTGTGCAAATGACACCGCATGGATCAATTCAGCCCTAGTAAAGGCTATTGGGAATGGCTGAATGGGACAATCTTTCTCACAGCCAGAAGCAAACGCCCAGCGACCAGAACAAACCTCCCGTTATCTGCTACCGCTGTTACCAAGGTCTTGTTGCTGCAAAGCGTGCTGTGAGCGAAGTCATCGTAGAAACACACATTTTGTTTTGCTATTACGGTCCTGGGGAGTTGGTTTATTGCAGCTGGTGGAAAATTTTGTACAGGGAGGGCTCAAAGACCTCCCCTCATTTGAGGTGTGGAGTATCTACTCACATGGCATCATCTGAATGGTTTAGACAGAAGAAAAATGTCACTTTTTGATGCCATCTTCTAGCATTGGTGGATTGATGCTGTGTGGGGACATGGACAGTGGAAAGATGAGATGATCCCAGTGCAAAGTGCTTGCAAGACGATGACCCAAGTCACTGGGCAGAATATTCAAAGCCAGAAGACTAAACCAGATGCTGTTTTCTACTATAGCAACAAGAGGTAGCAACCTGCTGAGACTCCTGTCTTGTGAAGGGAGCCAAAATCAGCATTAATAGAGGGGGGAAAAATGAAATTATGTGGTGATTAGAAGCAAGGGAAGACATAGACATCAGTTAAACAACACAATGATGCAGCATCCTTCTGCTAATGTGGTAACCATCAATGAGGATGGTGCTTAATTACTGGGGGGTACCTAGAATATCACTATATCCCAGATGGCCATTAAAAAAAAATCCCATGCCCACTTAAAATGTGACAGGGTTGAAACCAAGCAGTGTTCAATACTCGTGACTCAGTGCGGAAACTTCTCTGTGGCACATATTTTGCTGCAAGCGCTCTCAGCCTGACAGTCTGGCACCGGGCGGCATGAGCATTTAACTCCTTCAACATTACTTCGGGGCTGCGAGTATTTGCTGCCATAGTGCCTTTCTAAACTGCCTAAGTTTGCCAGACGTGAGGATTTTGCCACTGTGTTACGCTGCAATGAAGAACGGACCCCAGCTGAGCCGCTCATCTCACGCCTGTGGTGCAGGGGGAAATTTTGGAAGTATGGAAGACGCGATGGGTAAGAGGTTCACCACTCCATCAGCCCAGCTGCTGGGGAAAAGGAGAGGTGGGTGTCTGTGCAGGTGGGGAGATGGATGGAAAACCAGCGTCTGTGGGATACAGCAACGTGAGGCAGTTCTCCTGTAACTTGGCCATCAGGTCCCTGCAGAGCAGGTCCTCTTGGGTATCACCAAACAGGGGGGGCATTTCAGACGGCAAGATGTGGCTCGAACCAGGTGCAGATGTTAAACCTTTGCTGCCTGTGACTGCTCCGGTCGTGGCTGAAGGCCTTTGCAAACACCCCCGACCTCGTGGAGGATGACACCCCAGAAAAAAAATAAATAAATCACCCGCCTCGTGCACCACCAACCACCCAGCCTCAAGACGCGCCACGAAGGGGGGGAACCAGAGCCCCGTAAAAATGCAAAAGCACCGTTTTGGCTTGGGAGAGCCTCCCATACGCCTGCTGTAAGGCCTGGCTGGGGGCGGGCAGAGAGGCAGCTCCGGCCATGCCGGCAGAAGGAGGGACCGCGCGTCCCCCCCCCGCCCCCCCCGCCCCCCCCTCCCCGCCCCATGCGCGCGGTG